GAAAGACAAGCCACAGCAGGGAGAAAAGACTTGCAACCACACACTTAACAAGGGACTAGTATCTAAAATACAAGAAATCTTAAAACTCAACAGTTAAAACACACACACATGTGATCTAGTTAGAAAATGGGCAAAAGTGGGGCACCCGGGTGGCTTAGTCGGTTAAGCGTCCGACTTTCGCTTAGGTCATGATCTCGCGGTTCGTGGGTTCGAGCCCTGCGTCGGGCTCTGTGCTGGCTGCCAGCTCAGAGGCCGGAGCCTGTTTCAGTCTGTGACTCCCTCTCTCTCTGGCCCTCCCCTGCTCACGCTGTCTCTCTCTCTCTCTCCTAGAAATAAATAAAACATTAAAAAAAAAAAATTAAAAAAAAAAAAAAGAAAATGGGCAAAAGTGACATTTCACCAAAAAGGATATGCAGAGGGCACCTAAACACATGAAAAATAAGGTTCTAGGGGGTGCCAGGTAGCTTAGTCAGTTAGCATCTGACTTTGGCTCAGGTCATGATCCCATGGTCTGTGAGTTTTAGCCCCATGTCAGGCTCTGTGCCGACAGCTCAGAGCGTGGAGCCTGCTTCAGATTCTGTCTCCCTCTCTCTCTGCCCCTCCCTCCATCTTACTCTCTCTTTCATGCAAAAAAACAACAAAAAAACAAAACAAAACAAAATTTAGAAAAGTTTTTTTTAAGAAAAAAGATATTCTAGATCATGAGCTACTGGGGAACTGCAAATAAACACCACTAGCAGCTATCTCACTTTTACCAAAATGGCTAAAATGTCAAATACACCCATCAAAAGCTGGTGAGGATGCAGAGAAACTGGACCACTCATTCGTTGTCCATGGAACAGGAAACTGTGCAGGCATTCTGGAAAAGAGTTGCTTAAAAACATAAATGTATCAACTACCATACGACCCAGTAATTATACACCTGACCTTTCATCCCAGCAAACTCCAGCTCAGGTCCACACAAAAGCCTGGACACAAATGTTTATAGCAGCTACATTCAGAATTCACCCCAAACTGGAAAGAATGCAGTAATCCTGCAAAGACCAAAAGGTAAACACCCTGCGGTACGACCTCGGATGGAATATTACTCAGTGATGTGAAAGAACACACTAGGTTCTATACACGCTAGAACCCGTATGAAATCTCCGGGAAATGAGCCAGTCCCTAAAGGTTACATAACGATGTGGCTCCATGTGTAAAGCATTCCTGAAATAACACCACCATAAAGATGGAAAAGAGATTAGAGGTTGCTGGGGGTTAAGCGGCGGGTAGGGGTGGCTCTAAAAAGGCAATAGGAAAATTGCCGATGGTCATGGAAACCATTCTGCAGACTCAATGCATCAATGCCAATTATCCCCGCGATGATAACTATTCTACCATCTTGCAGTGTTGGACTGGGGGAGAGTAAATAAAGGATACGCAGGATCGCTATATTGTTTTACACAAATCTAAAATTATCCCAAAATAAAATGTTTGATTTTACGGTGTCCGGGTGGCTCAGTCGGTGAAGTGTCCGACTTCAGCTCAAGTCATGGTCTCATGGTGCGTGAGGTTGAGCCCCACACCAGGCTCTTTGCTGTCAGCACAGAGCCTGCTTTGGATCCTCTGTGCCCCTCTCTCCATCCCTCCCCCACTAGTTCTCTCTCTTTCTCTCTCTCTCTGTCAAAATAAATAAACTTAAAAAGTTTGGGGTGCTTGGGTGGCTCAGTCGGTTAAGCATCCGACTTCAGCTCAGGTCATGATCCCACGGTTTGTGAGTTCGAGCTGCGCATCGGGCTCTGTGCTGACAACTAGCTCAGAGCCTGGAGCCTGTTTCAGATTGTGTGTGTGTGTCTCTCTCTGACATTAAGAAAAAAAAAAAAAGTTTAATTTTAAAAATTCAGTGATTTGAGAAAGAAGACCAAAACATCAACACAGAACCCCGCAGTGGTAGCAGGTAAAATTCTTACATGACCATGGTAACTGTACGTAGAGGCGGGCGGGGGGAGGCGGGGGAGGGCAGGAGAAACATTCCTGCTGCCCACGAAGTAGTACACCCACCTCTAAGCCTGGTCAAGAGCCGCAGGTCATGCGCGAGGGGTAGTGGGCCTGTCCTGCGGCAGCCCACAGTCGCACCCTTGAACCTTCAAGATCAGCAGCAGCAGCAGGGTCAATGCAGCAATCGGCTGTGAAGGTCCCCAACCTACGACTGCCCTGCAGGCCGAGGGGACCCTGCCCAGGAAAGTGCTAACCTCACGCCAGAGTCCCATTCCCGAAGGAAGAGCCAACGTGGGAGGCCACGGGGGTCCCGACAAAGGGGAGGCAGTCCACTCTCTCGGTAGAAGTTTAAATACCAGGCTGTGGTGGGAAAGGGAGGAGACGGGGTTTAGGAGAGAGACTGCTACTTGAGGTGCCATTAGCTCAGCCTCGACGTTTGGTTAGCAGACACGTTTGAAGAGCCGTTCTCAGGGAGGGGCCGGTTCCCACAGCCAGACTTGTTTTCCCCAACTGGACAGAAGTCCACGTTGTAAACTGGCCACGAGTCTCGTGAAGAGCAAAGCGGGCAAGATCAAATGAAGAACTTTCCCTCTTCTCGCTTGGGTTCTTCCTGGCTTCGGCCCCCAGCTCTCCCACCGGCGTCACCCGATGCCACACCACACCCACAGCCGTGGGTGGGGACCCCTCCCGGTTTCCGCTGCACTGGGGGCTCGCACAGAACAGCCACGTGGGTCCTACCAACACCCTGGGCCATGGAGGAGACTCGGCGTTGGCTTCATTACACCGAGTGCTGATGAAGCGGCAGCGTTCCCGCGGACCACCGCGCTGAGCAAGGGTCAAGGCTGCCTGCTGGGTCTGCAGAGAACCCCCCTCTGGCCTGGTGGGGGAACACGGGGAATTAAGAGGGGGCAGTTCTGGGCACGGACTCCAGTAAGAGAAGAGGAAACGAGAACAGGAGGCGTAGGCCACGGACACGTTTATGGTGCAGGCAGCCGAGGTTTCGGAGCATAAATACAAACTGGGTGGACACGTGGCCAGGCAGGGCGGGGGGGGGGGGAAGAAAAGACAGTGCAGTGGGGGACATGGGGGGTAAGGGGAATGTTCGGCTCAGTGTATATTTGGCCCTAGATTAATGTTCCTCTGCCATGACTCATTCCTAAGTATTTCAGGTAAAACAGGTGAGCTACACTATACGCTTGTCCCAGCGAAACGCCAGAGTCGAGGCAAAGCAACCACGCGTGCGTGCACATACACACACACACACACACACACACACACACGAGAGAAGATGTTAATCTCCTTCCCTGAGGGAAATGTCCACCCCAGTTTGACCCTAGTTTGGCTGTTGGGCCTGAACGGTCAATACAGAACAAAAACTAGGGGAATACACAGAAGAAGTTCTACACCTCAGCCCACGTCCTTGCCCCTTCCCAGAAAAGAAAGATCCCAAAGAGAACAGACGATGAGAGGGCAGCTCAAAGTGCCAGATCCTGACCCACGCACACGAGCTAGGCGAGACGTGAGGGGAAGAGCCCTGTGAATCCGGCACTCACCCAGCCCCCACACAGAGCACCAGCGGACGTAGAAACAAGGCAAGAGAACAAACAGAACGAAAGAAATGGGTTTTTTTAAAAACTACAACCTTTTAAGATGGGAAGAAATACGGCCTTTCTGATGAAGCAGTGACAAGGTCCGAGGGCACCCAGAAAGAACCCAAGTGTGTCACCAGAACACGCGAGAAGGGCTATGTCACGCCGCCTTCCTGAACAAGCCAGCCACTCTACCGAGTGCTCCACTGTCCGGGCCAAGGAAATCTAACATCCGATGCTGCAAGAATGCTCTCAAAACTCTCTAAGGTTTCCATCTCCACCCAACTGAAAATCCAAAGGAAAAAATTCATCAAGGTATTCTTGATCTTCTGTTCCCCCAACTCAAATCCTCCAAAGAACTTAACTCAGCAGTGGCCCTTGAGGAAACTGATCCCAGCAGCTCTATCAGACATCCGGACCACAGCGTCAACCTCCCAGTCAACAAGATACAGAGGCGAATAGAGGAAAGCGGGTCGCTGCTGGGTCTTCGCAGACTGAGGTTCGAGCCAGTATTAGCTCAAACGAGCAGCCCCTTCCAACTTCGTGAGTTTCCTGGTTTGGACAATAAACCGTACAGTCTGTCTGGCTTGAATTTGGTTCATTCAACACGTCCAGTTAGTTCCAAATAAGTCTCACATTGTCTGTAAAGCATACTGATCGGTCTACTAGCCAAATGGTGGCTCACGGAGAGAAGACGATGATGGAAGATAAAAGGGCTCACTGATGTCCACTGAGACATGCATTTCACCCACATCAACCTACACTTCACCACCAAAAGAGAGTAAGGCTAAAAATAAAAGCTACAAAGAAACGCGAAGACATTCTGTTCAAATGGAGACGGTTCTCCATTTGTAGGTTAAATTCGTCATCCTGAGGACTTGTGAACATACTTCTGGACCAACACCACTATGGCTAGCAGGCACACCATGTAAGTGGGTACCGATTAAGTCTGTTTAACTGTATAAGACAGTAATTATAAATAACAGGAATTCTTTTTTCAAGCCCCAAATTGCCATTAATAACCAGGAACGGTGGTGATGTAACCTGACTTGAACACCGGATACAATGGCACGATACTATCATTGGCCACATCTCAGACCTCCCACATGTATACCAACGACCCAACAATTAAGAACGCACTTATCCCACATCTAAGTCGCCATAACTCAACTAGTACATTGAGTTTCTGTCAAAAAAAAAAATCATCTTCCGAAGAAGTGGTTTATAAAATGAGACTCATATTTCAACACTGTTCAAGTCTCTGAAAACAACCCTTTCTCTCGTGCACTCACACACGCACACGCGCGCACACGCACACATGCACGCACTCCCATTTAACTGAGTTCCCACCCTGAAAATCAAGGGCATCATCGTATAGAGCACTCATGTCTACGGATTCGTCACCGAAACACCCAAATGGAAGGGATACTCTACTTGTCCGCTCGCATCTGCAGCCTGCTGGAAGTGCGTGGCCAGCGACGCCTCGTCCTGGAAAGCTTCATTACACTCCAAACATTTCAGACTATGCCTACAGAGCTTGGACGGGTCTTCATCCAGAGGCATCGCTGGAATGATGGGTGCGCTGGAGGGAGCGGATATGACTGTCCCCGTGAGGCCGGACTGAATCTTCGCTACAGTGTGCGCGCCGGCTCCGGCGGAGCTTGGAAGAACGGAGGACGAAGTGGAAGTATTGCTGGACGGAGAGACAATCATTTGATCAGCTGGGACTGGCTTTAAAATCAAGTGGGAGCACTGCATCACAACCCCCTTTTCCTTATGCCCGCGGGCGTGGGAAAGGAGACTGCACTTGTTGTAAAAAACGAGGTTCTTGGTACAGTGGTTACACGTTACTTCGATGCGCACGCTGCGCCGGTCGTAGTGCTGGGTCAGGCTCTTCTCCAGGGCGAAGGAGTCGCCGCACTCCAAGCACTTGTACCCGCGGGTCGGCAACGTGATGCCTGCGCTGGCAGGGGGACTGAGGTTGGGGATGTAAACTGGGACTGGGTTGACGCTGCTCAGCACCTTGTTGAAAGCCTCCACCACGGAGCTCTGCAGGGACGAGACCACCTGCACCCGAGACACCTTTTTGGGCGGCTGCGAGGCCGCTGCATTGATTATTGCCTGCTTTATTTGCTGCTGAGGTTTGGTTAGCACTTGGCGGAGCTCGGAGGTGGCCTGGGCGCCCTGAGGCAGAAGGTTAAGGTTGGCGAGGTGCACAGTCTTTGGCACGAGTTTGGCATTGGCCAGGCTGGACGCCGGCACCACGACGGTTTGCTGCTGGATGGCGTTGGCGGCTTTGATGATGGCGCTGCTGGCGCTCTGAACGGATGCAGCCGAGATGACCGTGGCTTTGACCGTCGTGTTGTTAGCGAGCTTCAGATTAATGACTTGCGAGCCCGCCGTCTTCACGGCAGACACCGGAAGGAAGGCGGTCGCCACGGGCTTGATGGTGACCTGTTTGGGGGTCAGCTCTGCAGGGGTGACCGCGTTGGTGACCACCGCTGACTGCAGAGGCGCTCTGGGCGGGGAGGAGAGGACAGCAGCCGAGGCCGGAGAGGACAGGAGAGACGTCACAGATGCCATCACGGACCCTGCCTGCTCCGAAGGCTTCTTCCCAGAGTCGAGATCGACCTCTGGCAACACCCTCGTCACTGTTCTCTTTATTTCCCCAGAAGACGTCTTGATGGTTTTTATGCGGACTTTGGGGATTGCTGGTGTCGACCCCGCGGGAGAGGACGGCGACCCCTTGCTGCTGTTCTCGCTGGAGATGCTCCTGGGGCTGTCTGGCTGCTTCAGGGACACTTTCTTTGTCCCGTCGATGAGGCTCTGGGATTCAGGAGACTTCTCCACAGCTCTGGGGCTATCACTTGCCTCTTTGGGTAACGGAGAGGGCCCCCGCGACTCGGCCACCGGTTCCTTGCAGGAGTCGGAGGCCGCCTTTTTAGCACTAAGTGCTGCTATTGCAGCGATACAGGAGGACAGCTTGGATGATGGCTTTGACCGCGACGGCGCCACGCTGCCGAGGCTGGGCTCGCTCTTCTCGGCGCTCAGCTTGCCGTCGTGGGCCCTGTTTTCAAGCACCTTTTCGGAGTTTTCCTTCAGCTTATCCTCTGCTTTTCTGGCTTTGAAAGGCTCGTAAACGCTCAGATTTATGGAATTTGTTTCTGTTTCTCGCTTAACAGCTCTGCTTTTGTCTGAGCTGCCTGAAGGAGAGACCCCGGTTTTGCTCGCACTGTCCCCTGCGAGCGCCTTGGGCTTGTCGGAGCCCTGCGGGGCGGCCGGCCCCGGCAGCACGTGCGCCCGGAAGCCGGGGCGCACGTCTTCCTTGTCAGGCGGGTCGTCCACCTCTATCTTCTCGTCGTCGTCGAACTCCTCAGCACTGGAGATGGGGCTAAACTGGCTGAACGTGGAGTCTTTTAAAGTCACCTCCGAGGCGGGCGCGTCGCCTTTCAAGGACTTGGATCCGTCTTTGCTGTAACCGTCGAGAGAGGGCGCGGAGAGAAACCCATTGTGCAGGCCGTTGCCCGCGGCACTGTGGCCTTCCTTCTCGGCGCCCTCGGAGGAGTCGATGTTCCGCACGTTCTTCACGATGACGCTGACACCTACGTCGGAAGAGGAGGGCGTGTGCGAGTCCTCGTCGCCATGGGCGTTCTGCTTGATGTGGCTTTCCTGGTCCTCGTGTACAGACTCGATGGCTGCTTTCGGATCGACCATGTCTGGGATGTCAAATGCTGCCAGGAGGTCATCGAAGTCTGGGGTCTTCATATCCCCCATGGTCATGAATGTGATCAGATGTTCTGTTAAACGAACAGAAATAATCCCGTCAGCAATGAAAACTCGGTAACGATGGGATAAACAGCCCCACAGGGTTTCACAAACACGGTGATGAGGACCAAGAAAAGAGCAGGCTGATAACTACCTTCTTACGAGGGGACTCAGTGAACAAACGTCCAGAGAACGTGTGTAAAGCCTTGATGATTACAGCTTCAAACTAATTTCACCAAAATGCTAGAGAGCACCCCCCGAAGGACAACTCTCTAACAGGAAGGAAGCTGATTGGAACTGGCACGGCACGAAAAGTAGCCTTCGGTGCAACACCCAGAAAGCTTGCCATTCACCACTGCGTTCATCAGACCGTTTCCACAAAAAGCTGTTTGCAAACCTATTTCGGTCTCTGTACCATTCGATTCTCCTGGCAAAATCAGCACTATTACAGTCACTGCCACGTTTGGCCTCTCGCATGAAAAGGAATATATGACAATCGAAAAAATAATAATAATTACTGATTTCAATTCGCCCACAAAACAAAGAAGCATCCCAACCCATCACATAATGTTGAGGTTTAAAAACAAAAAAATCCTACGGGGCTCATTCCATCATTTGTTACTGAATCCCACTTTTCTCTATTGTGTTAGGGAAAAAATACTCTCCTGGTAGAAGAGCATGGCGTCCCCTCCGTCTCCCTCTCTGCTTCACCGCTTTTAGCGGCTAAGGTAACACGGCCATTTCCTGGCTGCCACTCACCCGGCACAGTGGGCTGGCACGTGGCTGTGGCGGCTGAGGACAGCCCTGCCACGACACGGCTGTCGGCGCGGCAGGGCCCGGGGGGAGGGAGGCCGCCCCCCCTGCGCCGCGGCTAGAGCGGGGCGGGGCACGTCCCCGGGCAGGAGGAGGACAGAGCTTTCGGAAAACGGACAGTGACCGCCATTACGACAGATGAAGGATTCCAAACCCGTGAAACGCTTGGGGCCTTCAAAGGACACCCTTTGCCCCACCTGCAGAGGACACGTGATTGGGAAGATCAGACGTGACTCCACTGGAAGAGAGAGCCCTCTCCCGCCCGGCTCTGGGACCCCAGCGCACGGTTTCTAGGTAGCTTCCGGTAGGCGGCACGGCGTGTGTATACAAGTGTGCACACATTTGTCTCTTCATTCCTGCCAGCCTGTCAGCTGACTGAAGATGACTTGGTCTCACTCACGTTACCCCGTAAGGGCCGCATGACTAGCACACCACAAAGTCAGGGCTGGCCCACGGGACTCCTATTGGGAGGCGGGGCCCAGACCTAGCGCCGTCCCCCACCAGCTGCGGGGCCCTCGGGAAGGGAGGGCATCTCTATGGGTCTATTCCTTCCTCCTGCAGTGGAGGGAGGCAGGCAGCCAGGAAGAGAGGGAAAAGAGGAAACAAGAAACCAATGTAGAAGGGAAGAGGGTTACGGCTAGTTTTAGGCAACATTCAACGGAAGAATCAGCTTGATTTGTAGATACACGTTCCTAGACTCTTTCCTTCTCAAAACTCACTGTTGTTCCTCATTTAAACCTGCTTTAAATCAGTGAGAGATTGTCTTCCACGTTTTACTAAAGTGTTTAATGACTTTGGGGGTGGGGTATGATCTGTAAAAGATCACGCATTCCTAACAAAAATACGTGTACAGGGGTCCAGACAGGATTTCTACATCCGCGTGAAAACTCACATAAACCACAAATCCATCCACAGGCACTGAGCCACCCTCCTCACTGTGGGACACATCCCAACACTTCTAATGATTTGGATGGGAAAAACTACTATTAAAGACGAAATCTGGGGGCACCTGGGGGGCTCAGTCGGTTAAAGGTCCAACTCAGGTTCCGGTCATGATCTCAGTGTCTGTGGGTTTGAGCCCCGCGTCAGGCTCTGAGCTGTCAGCACAGCTCCTCCCCCCTCGTACTTGCTCTTTCTCTCTCAAAAATAAAAATTAAAAACACTTTAAAAAAGAAAAAAAGACGAAATTGGGTGATGGGCATTAAGGAGAGCACTTGCTGTGATGAGCTTTGGGTGTTGAATGTTAAGTGATGAATCACAGAATTTTCCTGAGACCAGTATCGCAGTGTATGTTAACTCACTAGAATTTAAATAAAAATTTGAAAAAATAAAAATAAAAATGAAATCAACAAGCACGGTTCAACAGGAATGAGTTAAGGAACAAATCACATCTCCGTTAAGGCAGAACTAAAAACATCCCATGTACTTTTCCCTAGATGGTTTGCTTTAGCCCAGAGAAAACACCCCAGGGCCACCACTCTCTGAGACAGGGGCCTGGTGGGACCAGACAGGGAATAATGTCCCCAGCATCAAACCACAGCCCAGATACAAGGTGTGGAGGAAAGAAAACACCAACAGTTCTAAGCTGATATTGCTGTGAAAATATCCATGACCAGTTGTACCCAGGGCAAGTTTGTGATTATGATTTTCTGTTGAGAATGAAATTGGACATTTAAACTGCAAAGTATACGAAATGGAAACTCCATCTGCCAGATTAATACCCACGTAAGAGTCCACCCACTGAGGAATAATCCCTGAACGTCACTACTTTTATTTTCAAGCAGCAAACTGCAGGGGCAGATCAAAACTCGCAATCAAATCATGCTGTGGTCCATCTTTACCACATTTGTAGATGGACGTTCGTAGAGAACTCAAGACACAGAATTGTGAGCTACCGCCCAACTCCCGCCAGCGCTGGAAGGGTCTGAAAACTGTTTTGTTTTTTAATTTTTTTAATGTTTATTTTTGAGAGAGAGGGAGGGCACAAGCAGGGAAGGGGCAGAGAGAGAGGGCAACACAGAATCCGAAGCAGGCTCCGGGCTCTCAGCTGTCAGCACAGAGCCTGACGCGGGGCTCAAACTCATGGACCACAAGATCATGACCTGAGCCCAAGTCGGACGCTTAACTGAGCCCCGCAGGCGTCCCTGAACAGTTTTTGTAAGTCACCACTTATCTAAAGCTTGGATCCAGGCTCTAGACCTCCCCAGGGGTAGCTGGGCTCCGCCTTGGTCTCTCCACCCCCCTTTTTACAGTGACACAGGGTTTATGGCACGTGCCCCCCTCCTGTAACTTGGGTGAACGAAAGACATCACCCAGTTCCACATCAGTCCATCCCAGAGAGCAGTCGGATCAGGAACAAAGAACATAAGAGGCCATTCAAACACCCCTGGGTGGCAGGCCCAGGACACGCGACCACAAGAAATGATAGAAGGTCTTGCGTGAAACAAAGTTTGTCGAGCAAATGACCGCTTGGATCCGCAGTGTAACAGGCAGGTACTTAGGAATCCTTGGAAGAGGAGTAAATGGATCTTCACATCTTCCTCTCCGGTTTGCACGACAGGGACGTGCCTGACACAGTAGGGCAGTACCCGCCCCCTCGCTGCCCGTATCTCTTCCTCCCTGCCCAACTAAAGCAGAGGTGAGGTTTGGAAAACCCCAGAGAGGAAGCCCAGGGGCCGAGAAGACATTCCTGGGTCAGCAGCAACTCCTTCTCGGCAGTCATGTGGCCACACACCCTGCTCCCCTGTCCCCGTGTCACTTCAGTCTGACACCTTCTCTTGTGGGAAGAGGGTGAACTTGAGGGTAAGATAACGGGATATTCTGAAGAGGTAAGAAGGAATCAGCAGTGGCCCCAAAACCCAGGAGTCGGCCCTCCCGGTTCACTTGAAGGAACGTGAAGGTCGAGGGCGCGAAAGCACGAGAGCAGAGCCCAGCGGGCTCTGAAACCCAAGCTCACCCTGCGGTGGCCTCACCGCTGCGGGGTTGTAGAACCGTGTAATGAATCCCGCTCTCTGTAACTTCACACTTCTTTTGTGGTTCACAGAAATGTTTTCCAGACCCACAATCACACTGTCCTATTACCCGTTCCCTTCCCGCACTCAGAAAGGCAAGAGCAGACTTTCCACTCGGGGGCAAGAAAATGTTTCACTCCCTCTTCACGTCCCACTTACGTCGGGTACAAAGAGCGATGTTTATATTTGAAAGCTCTGTCCATTTTTCATCCCAATTCCGAAGTACCGCTGTTTTGAAAACATCACAAAAATAAACTTCAGTATTCTCTTTTAAAAGGTAATAGGGGCACCCGGGTGGCTCACGGGGTTAGCATCCAGACTCTTAATCTGGGCTCCGGTCATGATCTCAATTGTGAGATCAAGCCCTAAGTTGGGCTCTGCTGATAGCACGGAGCCTTGGGATTCTCTCTCTCCCCTCTGCCCCTCCCCAGCTCGCTCGTGCGCTCTCTCTCTCTCTCTCAAAATAAATGATCTTTTAAAAAAGAAAAGTAATAGACAGAGGACTGACTTGAGCTCCTCTTCCCCTGCACAGCTTGACTATCAGACAGCATTAGCTTTCGTTATTATAACAATGTCTTTCATTTCATTTGCTCTCTATAAAACATATCTTCCTTCAAAGGCACTAATAGTCTTTTAATTTAAAACGAAACCCCATATCAATAACCTGTAATTCACTAACAGCATCTGTGCTTCATGTAGAATGTCCCTTTACCCAGAGACCTTGAAAATATCTGTGGGGAGAACGCGAGGCCTGTTTACAAAAGCGGAAATTGAAAGAACTCGGGTCTGTCACGTGATCACTTGATTCTCTCCTCGGACACAGACTAAACATTTCCTTTCCTACCAAAGCCTTAAAATTACAGAAAGCTATCTCGTCTTTGGGAGTTATCAAGTTATCAAGTCAAAAAAAAGGCTTGAGACAAACCTTCCCCCCCCTTCCTCATCCTTCTTACACTTTCCGATAAAAGAAACTGTTCTTTGCGGAGCTGTTTCCCAATTTTAAACCAGCGAATGGCAGCGTGAAAGGCTCAGGTGTCACCGTCCCGGTGAAGGCTAAGTTCAGCTCATCCCCAGGGCTGTGCCTACATGCGCCTGACCCAGCCTGGGTTCTGCCTCCAAGATGGATACACAACGGCAGTCTGGGTGGTGAAAACACGCCAGATTTCCCATTTAAATGGAGAAACTAATATTCTCTTTCCTGAAAACCA